ATCCCATTGGCCTTCTTGGCAGCCAGGGCACACTGCTGGCTCATGGTCAACCTGCCATCCACCAGGACACCCAGGTCCCTCTCCGCAGAGCTGCAATCCGTGCAAGCTTTGCGGCTTTCTTCACAATACCATAACTCAGGAGTAAGCAGACACAGGCATTTGTGTAAATGCGAAGCGTCATTCGGAGGATGCCGAGGACGCCTGTGAAGGTTGAACCGCACAACCCCCTGCGAGATGACAGTGCTTTGCCCGGGGAGGGTCCAAGCCAACATTCAAACGCACAAACCTGAGCCCCTCGCAAACAGCTCCAAGCTGGGACCCTCCATCAAGGAGGAAACACAACCCCACTTGCAGCGCAGCTCTTCAGTGTCTTCTTTGGTCAGGTGTTGGACCAGGCTGCCCAGGGAGGTGGTGGAGTCCCCATCCCTGGAGAGGTTCAAAACCCGTGTGGATGTGGCACTTGGGGACGTGGTTTAGCAGGCATGGTGGGGTTGGGTGGATGGTTGGACTTGACCTTAGAGATCTTTTCCAACCTATGATTCTATGATTCCCCGCGAGAAGCATTTAAGCAACAGCACAAAACTATCTGAAGGGTTATTTTAAGCAAACCTTACTTGAAATCTGCATGAGGTCCTCTCTTCTGTACATGGCACGGCCAGCTGAAAAAGTACAAACAACGCAACTTGCTTCTACCAAAAAAGCTGATGGGAAAGCCAAACTCCTGGCAGAGGACGGGCGTCCTTCCAACAGGAGAACTGTCAGCAAACGCCGCTCACGCAGTTTCACTTTTCCTTTATCGCTACGCCGTGCTGCGGAGGGCAAACTTCTCTAACGCGTTTACGGCAGCCACGAAAGCCATCGACCGATCTCGTACGGCGGGATCCAAGGGTCAGGTTGTTTCACCAGGGCAGGTTGGACGGGGCTTTGAGCAACCTGGCTTAGCGGAAGGGGTCCCTGCCCGTGCCGGAGGGGGGTGGAACGAGGTGATCTTTCAGGTCCCCTTCCAACTGGAACCGTTTCTGCGCTGCTTCCTCCTTTTTATCCACGTCAGCTCAACGGAGCGGCGCTAAAAGCCGCCACCGAGCTCCCCGGGGAGGCTGTTTTCTAATATCCCACATTCCTCAAAGCACGGCAAAGGAGGCAAGCAGAAGCAAAAAAAGCAACGCAAGTCCCGTGGTTGAGCGGTGGACTGGGCAGTGCTCGGTTTACGGTTGGACTCGATGATCTTAAAGCTCTTTTCTTACCTAAATAACTCTATTCTATTCTGTGATTCTACCCCAAAACGGTAT